TGTGTTGGTGTTGTGTGTGTGTTGGTGTTGTGTGTGTGTTGGTGTTGTGTGTGTGTTGGTGTTGTGTGTGTGTTGCTGTTTTGTTGTGTGTTGTGTTGTGTTGTTTTGGAAAAGTGTACAATTATTCCTTACTAAGTATAATTATGAGGGCCGAACCCTTCGAGGCAGAGAAACGTCAAGTCCCTATCCCTAAGTGAGTCCTCAGTGACTAGGAGCATGACGTTGAACTTGAGAGACTTTTAGTGCTAATTTGAGCGCGACCGCTTGGCGAGGTGCGATTGTACTCGCGTTTGCGCTGTTTACTCTGGCGTACGTTGTAGTGAGTGTTTTCAACGCTGTTGTAGTGCAGAGGGCTATAATGCGATGTGTGCACGGGGGAAGGATAATTGCAGGAGTACAAAACGATAGGAAGGCTAAGGTAAGAAGAACAGGAGACCAGATGAATCACAATACTAGTCCAGTCGAAGTCTCGGTAGCTCACGCAGATGCGGAAGACGAAATCGACGAAAGTCTGCTCCCTGTGTCGCAGCTTTAATTTTTTCCGCTCAGCGTTGGGCGTGTGTGTGAAAAATTCAGAGGGTTTTATAGGCGCTTTGTATAAAAAGAGAAACGAGCCTACGCACGGTCGTTGATTTACTCGGACAATTTTCTGGGTCCAAGTGGCAGCATTTTAGGAGCTACACCGTTGTAAGCGAGAACAGGGCACCTTCGTGACGAGCAGAGTATTTATCTCACGTCTTCGGGCGAAGTCAAAAATAGGCCCTACTACATCTCTGGAGAGTCTGAAGAAGAGAAGTTGCAAGGTACTTAATTCGTACAGCATCTCCACTGGCACCAGTGCAAGCCGACCACACGAGGATACCAATGAAGTCGCGAGTGAGCAAACTTCTCACAGAAGTACCAAGAATAAAGCAACTTTGGTGCAGAACAAATTCTTTTTGTTCTCAAAAGTCTCGCCAGCGGGATTTTTTTTTGGCGGTGCCTCGTCCTCTCCTTTATGTTTCTGGTTCGGTTGGTGGTTCTGGTGTCTTTTCACGTAAGCCATAGGGTCGCAATCACTGCTAGTTTGGCTGACTTTCTTTCTTTTCTGGATGTTCGCGGTGTTTGGCCCGTATGTGCATGCTTTTATGACAAAACTGGTATTGCTCGATTTGGATAATACCTACGTCCTCCTTGCTCTCGACAAAGAGGCCGCGACTGTCAGTGATTGCTCCTCTTTAGAGAAATTCACGAACAAGTTCGTCTGTCGTTTCCGTGCCGGCATGTTTGCGGGCCAACTCGTGGGGCTGCTAAATTTTAACGAAGCAATGGGGGGCATCATTTTCTCAGGTATGATTTGCGCGATGCAGTCGACTCTTGTCTTCTCCGGTTTATTCCTCGATGCCACGTCCCACTGTCACGTGCAGTACGTGAGGGCAGTCAGAACTCAACTGATAAAGGAGATAGACGCCGTCGAATAATAGATCATGAATTTGACACGCGCGCAACGACGCAGGAGTTCTTCGAAAGAGCTCGCAGCTATGAGTGTTGACCAATTAGTTGCATCTTCAGCTACAGGTCATCCTCACAGCATATCAACAGCAGTCGGAACAAATGGAAGTAGAACAACCGTCGAAGTTTAACAAAGAGCAGGAGCAGTCCATGCTCAAGGTGCTAGTAGTATGAACAGTGTGTCTGCAAATTCAAATAGCGGCCATGCGAATCAGCACGCGAAGGTTGACATGAAGATCCACGATAGAACTCATATGATACAAATGGATATAATTATCGAAGCGTCGATTTCTAGAATAATTGCTGTGGACCTGCTACGGAATTTCGATCGAACGCATCAACAGTTATTCACTCGAACTAGACAGATTACCGGAAGTGTTATGGCGATGCTTCTTCTCTTTTTGCTCTACGGTGCGATTGGGTTGCTGATGTTGTCTATCTGGCTGTACAATACTCTGCCAGCACAAGCAGCGTTCTTTCTGTTTGTTCATTTTCCTGCTGATGTCGTCCCTGGGTGGCGTCGCTCGGGGATGAGTGTGAAATTTTCGTGTCGCAATTGAGACACCGCGCGGTGGCGACGTTTCGACCAGAATTCTTCGCCTCAGGTGGTGGCTTTGGAAGTGCGATGGGCAGCGATTTTGCGGGGGGTATGGATAGCGGACTAAAGAATCGACTGCGCTTTCGTGGAAATGGAAACCAGCAAGCACCTGCAAATTACCACTACGCGGGTCTGGTCAGATAAGGTCGATCGGCTGGGGACGGTGCGAGGGACGTCGATATGGGAGGTCACTCAGCTCAACACAGCCAGACTTCTGGAGGAGCAGGAGGAGTGCGAAATGATGAGCAGCTGAATCCAGAATCAAGAACTGCACCTGGTGAGCGTCTAGACGCACGACCAGATTTCTATGCATCATCCGCGGTAACAAAGGAAGGAGGCTCTGTTGCTGCTACTTCTACAGCGTATAGGACACCACTACAACTACTTGATCATGACCCAGGTACAACAGGCCATACCAGAGGGTCTTCGAACATGAATGCTGGACGTGATCCCCTCCAATAATTGCACTTGCTATTAAGACTTCCGGAAATCCATCTTCAGAGGCATCTTGCTCTTGGACCTCCCGTGTAAGGGAAAAACTGGCCCAAGATGACTGTCAGCATGGATTCCCGGAAGGTCTAATGTTGCTCGATCATGGGTGCGTGTACTACGGGGATTATCTGGTGTCGGAGAAGCACTGCTGGTGCTTGCTGGGTAATGTCTTGACGGCTGATCTGGTCAGGAAATCTCTAGCCTTCGTGCTTTTAAGTGGAGCCTTCGCAGTGATTCCGATGTTGGTGGAAAGCGGTCTTGCATAGTAGTCCCATGGGGAAAACGAGAGCATATTTGATACAACATAGTAGTTACTACGCAGTGGCAGTGTCCTTACTTACGTATTCGGTGTACATTACGCGAACAGAAGGTCACTTCCCTTTATTAGAAGATGTTGACTTTAACATAGACCTTGCAGCGATGTTTTGTTTGGACGCATTGTAGGCACTAAAAAGGAGATGTAGATTCATAGAACTTAAAGATCTTGTTCTTGAAACAGAAACATGGATCCTACACCAAGACCCGAAAAAGAGAGAGCTTCTGAAAAAAGCAGGAATTGAAATGCTGTTCTTAACGACTCTGACTCTATTAAAGGTAGGAAAAGGTAGGCTTTCCGTTTTGTTGAATGCTTTGCAGACGCGGACTGGAGCATCAGTTTTTATCAGGCAGAAAAGACGATCTAACCCTTAGGGACGGTCGACTGAGGATATTTTGAGACAAAGGACACGGCTAGGATGCTGCGCCAATTTTGGCAAAATTAAAGCGAAAAATTTTATGTATATGTGTAAAAAGTAGCTTCCGTTTTTCCAAGAACATATAAGTACATGACTAGATCTAGAGCTGCAAGACGATTCCCTTTCGAGCCAATTTCTTTGTAGGCAAAACTCTTACTTTTTTCACTTTCATCAAGTAAGTCAGAAGTAAGTCAAAAATAAGAGCATTTTCAAATCAGAAGGATGGCAGGTTCGTCGCGTGGCTTGTTTCTCGTCTTCGAGGGGCTGGATCGCAGCGGGAAAAGCACACAGTCTGAGCGCTTATTTCAGCATTTGAAATCTGCTGGCGTCGCAGCTAAGAAGATGGCATTTCCGAATAGGGAAACCACCATAGGCGGTCTTATAAATTCGTATCTGCAGTCGCAGTCGGAATTAAGCGACGAAGCGATCCACCTGTTGTTCTCAGCGAATCGGTGGGAGACTTCAATAGCCTTGGAAAAGGATCTAGCTGCTGGGACAACTATCGTATGCGATCGCTACGCCTTCTCGGGGGTCGCATACACTGCCGCAAAAGGTACTACCTAACTGCGCTTTAACCAAAAAAAACACACGATGTTGACCATATGAAGCATGATATTTTAAATGTAAGAAAATCAAAGTTTGTTATATCATGTTTGTTTACAAATACAACTCTCGCATGAAAAGTGTCACGCTTCTTAACCCTCACTTTTTCCTTTAGGTAGAAAACCTCTTTCTTGGTGCAAGGCTCCGGATGTAGGGTTGCCGCAACCAGACCGCGTTTTTTACTTGGATGTGGACCCCGAGACAGCTAAGAAACGAGCAGATTTCGGTGGCGAGCGCTACGAAAAACAGGAGTTCCAGAGACAAGTTGGAGCACAGTTTGCCGCTTTTTCCAAGGAACCCTTTTGGCATAAGCTTGACGCTTCAACGAATAAAGTTATGACAATAAACACAAAGTTGTACTTGTAGATTCTTGTTCTGAATCTAATGTAGTACTTGCAGAGTTAAGATAGGTGTTGAGTATGACTTTTTTCAACACTTTTTAGATTTGCCTGTCAAGGTAAGCCGTGCCTGCATTTATTAAAGTTTGTTTTCATCTTTTTGTACCCACTTGTACGTTTTGCAAAAGTTTACTTAATAAGAAACAAGACCAAATGCAGGCTGTGTAGGTATATTCTTCTAAGAACTACGACCTCAGTACGGAAATTCAAGGAAATGTCGAAGAGATGCTTTCAGACACCGAAATTCGGAGTGCACCCGTCAAAAAGTTGTGGACGAATTTGCAAGGTGTTGCGGAAAATTGACGCTCATAAATGTGATGGCTTCTATGTCGAGATGTTATAACTTTACGCTTTGAGCATGAGCACAGATTCTCCCCCCTGATCTACTTCCTTGTTCCCGACTAAGAATGGATACTAAGAATGGGAAGAAAGATACTAGTTTTCGTCCGCCTCCTCAAACAGCACTATTGCTAACGACCCAGAGTAACATCACTAAATTTTTAGTCTAAAATCGATCTTACCAAAGCAAATTGCGCATAATCTTCTGAATCGCATTTGCTTAGGCAGAAAATCGACTTTGCTGTGTTCGCACTATTGTGAATGATAATATCCAATAAAGCCAGTATAATATATAATGAAAATCAAAATGAAGATGTGCATGATGTATAGCACTACAGCCACAAGAACATCAAATATAGAACAAATACCAAAGGAAACAATGGAAACAGGAGTCCAGAGAAAAAGGAAATTGAAATCTGTATTCAGGATCACTCGACGACGAACGATTCATCAAGGTTCTTCTAGAGGGCGTCGTGTGGAGCAAATTTATCCGAGTACAGCGAGGTAGACGTAAAATTCAAAAACTAAGAAGAAGAAACACAAACAGTTGATTGAAAGCTGTACGAATGCTCTTGATTGACTCTGAACCTGAAGATGTTGGTGGATGGGTCCTCACCACCATCACGTGTGAAGTTGAAGAAAGAACTTCTGAAATGGGAGTAACATCTATTGAACAAGACCTTGTCGGCCTATGAATTTTGCTGCAGGAGCCATACGGCATAGGCATACTACACGATTCAAACATTTATAGTTGGAACGATTTTTTTTTTTTGCTTTTTGACGCGTGCTTTGAGACATATATACATCTTATTTTTTATCCATTTTCACTTCTGTTTATCCTACTAATTTTCTATTCATTCATCAAATGCGCGAGCGCGCGCCAAGTTCGTCGCATATTGTGCACCGGTTCGGGATCGACGGAGTTATTCAACAAACAAGTCAGTTGCGATGAAGAGATCGAGTCTGAGTCAAAAAATTGTTCTAAGAGTCAGCACAACTACTCTCATAGAAGTTATTATAGTACTGCCCGAAGCTGGACGAGCTGGGTGTCAGGTGGACTTCACCTTCTTGGCCAGTAAGAGAAAGATATTTGAATACGTGTAGATGATAAATATAAAGTGCAACTTTGTGGCGCGAGCAAGGCACGCTGTTGTATGAGAAGAGAGGACGCTGCTGTTCATGTATGCAAGCAAGCACCCGATAGCGCAGGGACGATTGAACGTAGTGGTTTGCGAACGAGAAACACCAAATCTGGCACTTCTACAGAAGGGTATTTGCTAGGTTTATCTTGTTCTTCCTTATTTTTCGACATTTTTGAGATTGATTTCTGTTCTTGTCGCATAGTGTCCTTCTAGTGCTTCGCATTGTGATGCATGATTATTTTGAATCATTACCTTCTCCTCTTCCTACTTGAGTACCCCTCTCCAAAACCCACTTACCCCGCTTTCCTGGTCTCCCTTCCCCACTAAAGTCGTTCGTAGTTCGGGTTTAGAGTATGTTTGAAGTCAGGCTTAGGGCTTGGCTTGGGAGTGGACGCTCGGGTTGAAATTCACACGAGACCGTAAAAAAAAGATTACTGAGCAGCAGAAGGAGGTGGTTGCTGGTTTTTTACGATGACAAAGAGCCAAACTTATCATTCAACTAGTACTTCTACATTGATTCTTCATCTTTTCATAAACTTTTTTCTGATCGTTTTATCCTTTCCGTCTTTATCGTCATCTGATGCGAAAGAGCTATCTTCTGGTCGTAGTCAGAACTTCCTGCTTCTGGTTAATATTCATTGATTTGTATTGCTTTTTATAGTAGAAGTAGATTGATGGTAGTAGATCATGCTTGTATAATGCCGTTGAGCCAGATACCACTTCTACTTCCTTGTCAGGTCGTTAGGACCTGGTATCTTTACCATGATAGCATGTTTGGTAAAGGCACTAAGTCACTTCTTGTTCCTGATGTTGACTGAAAGAAAAAATCTGTAACACAAAGAAAAAGTTTCAACCTAACCTTTGATATCGACTTCGCTCTGGTGCAGCAAAGATAGAGGGGGTGACGATCTAGCAGGGTGATCCATGGAGCTAGTGTATGTCACCATCACTGCTCTATGTGTTTGGGGATTCCTTTCTGTGTAAACTGAACCTGGCATAATTTCGCATCGAGGTTTGCATTATTTGCAATTGATTCTGAGACCACCACGACAAACCATCCTTGATCCTTCTGCCTGGGAGTACGAGTAGATCACACAGGAGCACCACCGGGAATTTTTCTAGCCGCACCGGCCGCACGAGGACGACCAGACGCGAAAAAAGTACTACTAAAATCTTGGGAATCTCGAGGACGAAATACAATGTCCTTACTTTATCGCAAGTACAACAAGAACAATAACTAATTATCGAACTTCTACTTCTTTCTTGGGACGACTCTGAAGTTTCAGGTGTCCTTGTCGTTGTCCTCATCTCATCTAGAAGCAGAGGAAAGCGCTATAAATTTGCGATGACGGGTGCTTGTTTCGTTCAATCGGACGGTCCCCGCGGGGAGATCCTTCGCAGAATTTTGCAAGACGAATTTTCTCTATACTGCGTGACGACTTCGAAAGGGAAGAATCTACAACGCGAGCACATCATGCGCCGCGAGGAGAAGGAAGAAGATGGTAGTTCGTCTTCTTCTTTTACGTCGGATACAAACGCAGCGACTGGTGGTAGTGACTGCAGCAGCACTACGTGCAGTTCAGAAGATGAGAACAACCGCACGGGAGAAAATGTAGCGCTTGATCGCAAATTCGGCATGAGGAGAAATGCACAAAAAGAAAAACGAGCACCACTTTCTCTTTTGTCAAAGAAAATGATACAGAGCACCGCAGATCTTGATCGAATTCGGTGCTTGAGATTTGTGTGGTTCCATAACGCTTTACAGGTTGAGCGCTTTTGGAAGAGCTATGACAAAATCACACCATCGATGTTAACAACTTCTTCAACACGAAATAGTTGTCATACGACTCCGAACAAAACTACTCATCTTCTTCATGAAGAAATACAAGAACAGGAAATGTTCGTCTCGCGACTCCGTAATTCGATGCTGTTGGACAACAAGCTGGAACTCTGGAAGCTAGCTGGTCGTACTGGATGGCTGCCAGAAGTTTTCACTGGAGAAACGAAAGATGAAAACAGCATTTCTTCTAGTTCAGAAATATCATCCTCAAGGTCAAGAAGCCGCGTCATCTGCAAGCCTGTATCAGGAGCGAAGGGAAACGGGATTCAGATCAAAGACGCCAATTTCCAGCTAAGCAAAAACGAGTTGTGCGAGTCAGGATGTTCTGGAGGTGGTACAACAACCGAAAGGAGCACAAGTACTGCAGCAATTGTAGCGTCGACGTCTTCATCTTCATCTTCCACGTCTTCATCTTCCACCTCTACGGTACTCGTCCAGAAGTACATTGAGAACCCACTCCTGCTTTTCCGGCGCTACAAATTCGACATTCGCCAGTACGTGCTGATTGTTTGTCGAGGTCCCGGTAAGTACGATGGGTACCTCTGTGACGGGTACATACGTCGCTGTCCGGCACCTTATGCAGCAACGGCCGTCGGTAGAACAAATATGGCAGCAGTTGATGACTATCTGCGTGCCACTTGTGACTCTGGTGATCCGAGCAGGAGCAGGACAACAGTAGGAAAAGATGGCAGTGATGTACTTGATCTGGAGGAAAGCCTTAACGAGGAGGACTGTTACAGTCAGCTGAGTAACTGGAGTATCACGAAGCATTTCCCTGGCTACAATCAGGCCGCCGACGAGGTGCGTAGCGTTCCGCTTCGAATCCCACTCACGCGCTTCATGTTTGGGCGTGCAAGAACAACTAGTATGCGTCTCAAGGTGCAGCGCTGTATTCACGATGTCGTTGCAGCCTATGTAGAAGAGCGGAAGCAGCGACAACAACAACCAGACCATGATAAAGCTGGCGCTGCTGGTGGCGTGGATGCTCGGATGACTACTTCCACTACTTCTACTTCTAGACTCAGTACCAAGACCAATACTGCTTCCACGACAACGTGCTCCTTAAGAAGCGTCGATCTGCCTGGCCAATTTGAGCTTTTTGGGGTGGACTTTCTCTTCGACGGCGACTTCAAGCTTTACCTGCTGGAGTTCAATTCGGGGTGCGGGGTTAGGTGGAACGCAAAGTTTCTGCGTAGAATCCATAAGAGGATGTACGAAGACATGGTTCGATTAGTACTCCCATCTACTTCCCGGCACTATAATATTGACGACAGCACGAGCACGGCTTCAATAGTACCAGAAGAAGCTGCTCCAGGAGGAGAAATGCTAGGAGCGCCAAGTTGTAGAACTACTTCTTCTGTTGATGTTGATTCTCGTGAATCGCCAATAGGACAACATGGAAGAACACCTTGGGTGCAGGTCTATCCAGAACTACCGTAAAATGAAGATGCGTCGTGTTGAGTGATCAAATTATACCTTTATCATTTTTCCATGACTTTTAATATTGCATAGAATAAGCCGCACGCGCACATGCAACCAGAGCTCTACCACAGTTTTTTGCACAGAAAAAAGGGTAGAGTTGTTTGGGAAAGTAAGTATGTAAAGTAGTAGTGTATAGAGCAACAATAATAAATAATGTATTCTGTACGGAGACGGACAGGAGCCAGGAAAGCATCTTCGACAACGGGTGCTTTTTTGGCGTATTATCTCGTTCTTTTTTGGCTTGGGGAGGTAAGTTCTTTCCAATACATTTGAAATGTACTTACAGATTGATGGATATAATGATGATGTTGACAATGAATAGATCAACGACAGCGACTATTGTAATTACTCATTGATTTTTTGGTAACCATTTTTCTCGCATCTATAAAGAGCCTCACACCCGCGGGGTGTTGCGTTAAGATTAGTATGGGTATGAAACTTGATGAACAAGAACATCAAGCGATATCATGACCGACTGCGTAACTCTAAGATGTTGGATCTTCACGGTGAAATTTTAGGTGAATGGTACTGCAAAAACTAGGAATGATAGCCATAGCGCCAGTCTTCTGGAGATGAAGTTCAATCAAAAGGGCTCCCTTGTCGTTTCTTCATCAGCTTATCGATATCCAGAACGTGATCTTAAAAACAGTAACAAGGGAGTGCGCCGTGCACACAAGAAGGTAGACTTAGATGAGGGGTCCTCGTGGTGAGTCCTACGTGCGGATTTTCTGAAGTCGCTCACTGTGACGTCTGTGCTTTCAAGAAAAGCGTCGAGCCATCGAGGATCCACCCTTTAAATTCCTTTTCCCCCACACAGCGTGTACGTGTAGTAACTGTTTACTATTTTTAAAGGCAAAAGACTATAAAGATGATTATTTGGATGCCGTTGATTTCTTTGTTTCTCCCAAACCAATAGATACCAAGCCTCTCGTTCTGCAGATTTGCAGCGGTTTGCGCGATTTTTGTTGAAAAAGAAGATCCAACTCGATAAAGTGCTTTCGATCGCGTGCGAGGCTAGAGACGATCACGATACTCAGAGCAGCCTGACATCAGTGGTATACTTTGGACATGCCTGTAGCTCCTTTATTAGAGTTTTATATTAGAACATTTCGTAAGAAGGATGTTGGATTGGATGGATTGCATGGCATTGCATGCATTGCATGAGCCGAGGGGGTCAGAGTGCGACCTTCTTAAGGGAGCGACACGGGAACGAAGACTCAGGGCGCGGCATAGGAGTACTTGGCTCCGTTGTAGGAGTACTTGGATAGTGCTGGCACGTACTAGCTATTGTAAGTAGCTCGACTGGGCTAGCTTGCCTGTGATCTCGACCGTCTTGCTCACTGTTCCCTGGCGCACACAGGCCACGGCGTTTGCGCTGCTCCTTGCTTGTTTCTGGGGCGAGGTCACAGTGGGGCCGTGTTTGTGTTCGTGTATCGTAAAGCAATTCTGCGGCGGGGCAGCCCGTTACTGCGGCGGTAGTATGGCGCCCGAAGGGCGCCGCGAAAAATAAATTGTTTTTTGGGTCGTCCATCCATGCAATGCATGCCATCCATGCCATGCAATCCAGAAGTTCGGAAATTGCCTTATATTCTATTATATATAGCGAGGATGATGATGTTGAAGTTGAAGTTGATGAGTACTTACTATCTAAATACTGCCATTTGAAAATACAATATGAATTCAAAAAATTCAGTTGTCTCTTGCAACCCTCGTAAAAACAACTCAGGTTGTGCCAGTCAATTTCGAGGAAATATTCCTTCAACGAAGAGGGGACGCGAGTGTCAAGTCCTACGACGTTTTCCTGCAACAAGTCCTCGTCATGTCATCACGAGAGACGGGTAATAGCAGGCAGAGTCCACCTGGCAAGACGCAGAGGAACGCTGCAGCGCGTCCAGTGACTGACTCTATAGGGCTCGCATCGAAGGCCAGTTCCATCAGAAAGAAGGAGGCGGCGGCGGAGCCTTCCCCAGCAGATAGTGGAGCACAGCCGACCCCAGCAGCACCTCTAGCAACACCGGGGACCACGCTATACGGTGCCTTCGATGGTCCCCCGTCTTTGCTTGGGGTCCACAGTCATTCCTTTGCTATGCCAATTGGTCCACCAGCCGGCTCGAATTATTCAGTAGGAGGCGCACCCGCACTTCTTCACCAACTTGCCGGAGTGAATTACAACTGTCGTCCGCCACCCTCTTCTGGGAGTTCTCAGGGAGCAGGGAAACGGCGTGGGGCGCCGGGGCGAATCGATAGCATCCACATAAACCGCGCGCAAGAGGCCACAAAATCGTTAGTTTCCGGCGCCAATAAGGACAATATTGAGGTTTCTGCTACTACCGACGGGGCGACTGGTTCAAGCTCATCTTTTTCGAATAAAGCTGGAGCAAAGGCTGCTCCTGGGACGTGTGCAAAAAGTAGCCCAGCAATGAAGCCAGCAGGATCGCGCAGAGACGATTACCGTCAAGGGGCAAATATACCTCTAAGGATGGATGTGGCGAAGACGAATCCAGATGAAAGCTTGTTGCGGAGAGGAAGACCTTCGCGCTCGTCGGGTAGCTCGTCGGTTTCCACAAGGGGTCGTCGACGCAGAGACGCAGGTCGAAGTACTCCGCGACGCAGTCGCAGCCCGCGACGTCGGCAAAGTCGCTCTCCTGCATTTAAGAACGACTCTTCAATGCGTGCTCGGAGCAGAGGTCGCGATGACAGCAGTCCTCGCAAGGGTTGCCCAAGCCGCAGTACTCCTCGACGTCGAACTCCATCCCGGCAACGGAGGAGGAGCTTGAGTCGTAGCCGATCACGAAGTTTGAATAGGCAACGACGCCAATCACGATCACCAGCGCGAAGACTTAGGTCTTCGGCTCGACGCCGGTCCGCAGAACGCAAGAGATCCGCAGAGCAATCGCGCCAATCACGATCACCAGCGCGAAGGCTAAGGTCTTCGGCTCGACGCAGGTCCGCAGAACGGAAGAGATCCGCAGAGCAGTCGCGCCAATCACGATCACCAGCGCGAAGGCTTAGGTCCTCGGCTCGACGCAGGTCCGCAGAGCGGAAGAGATCCGCAGACAAGAAGAATTCCGTCGAGCGGCGCAGGTCCGCAGCTCGGCGAAGGTCGGGAGAGAGGCGCAGGTCCGCTGAGCGAACGCGGCGAGGAGAGGCACAGAAGGATAAGAAGGCCGACCTCGCTGGTGCAGAATTCCTTTTGGATAGAGAAGTTCCTGCTATGTTTCAAAAAGCGCTTGGCGGCACGAATGCCACTGCACTTGAGTTGAAGAAGGCAGAAGAGCGAACAGCCGACGCGAAGAGTTCACGGGACGCTCGCCGAGATGGAAAGCATGTAGAAGGGATTAAAGCCCAGACTGCGAATCGTGCCGCTGATGAGCCGGGGCTACGCCCAGCGAGCAGTCGTGGCGATGCAGTTGGAGGGGGTTCTAAGAAGCGCAACACGTTGGAATATCATGGGAGAAATCCTCCTCCTGCAAGCACTACCATTCCTGTGATGAGGCAAAATAAAGACCAACAAGATGCAGGAGAAGAGCGTACTGTGTTCGAGGGTAGAATTGGTGTCACTTCCGCGCGCCAGCCTGAGCGACCCGTAAGTCCACCTCGGCGTGCCGGTGACAGGCGCACTAGAGGTAAGTCACCGCCGCAGCAGGCAAACAAAATTGGATGCACCTTTGCGATGGATCACCTCATACCGATTGGCCCTATGAATAGTATGCCGGCCATAGGATCCGAGGGTCCACCGCGCAGCCCCGACCTAAAACACATTAGCGAAGCCATAGGCGTCGCAGCCTCCGAGGGCGACGAGCGACTCCGCTTAGCGCTATTACGCAAGCGTGCAGCTGCGCAAGAAGCCGCTAGGCGCGCGGCTTTACCGCGAGGAGGTCAGAACTACTCTCCTATTCGTCGTTCTAAGAATCGCGATGGCAATGCGGGCGCGACCAACGACGGGGGACGCCGTGAGAAACTAGAAGAAAGACCTCGTAGAAACTCGGATAGCGAAGGCGATGTGAGCAGAGCAGCGGCTGCTAAGGCAGAAAGCGTCGAAGCCGACCGTTGTAAGGGTCCTCGCAAGACGTCGAGGGACTCCCGGAGCAGAGATCACCGTGTGGAGACGAAACAACCCCAGCGTAGTCGAGAGAAAACTCCTAGCAAGCGCATGCGGCCGAATACGCCCGATCGCGGAGACGTGACGGTTCAGGATCGGCTGAACAGAGAAAATATTCCTCCATTAGAGCTGCAGAGCGTGCGTGCGGCTGCTGCTGGTGCGATGAGCGGCGAGCGTCACGACACCACGGGTGCCCAAACGGAAAGGATAGACAATCGTCAGGCACATGATCAAATGCGCACCGGACAGAGACGTGAAGACGATGACGCTATCGCGCGGCTTCGTTTGCTTGAGCAGATGGAACAGAGGCGGCGCCATGACGAATTGCGGCGTGAACCGGCTGAAGGAGAGATTTCTGAGCATGATTTGAGCCACGGTCAGGGACTTGCAACCCAAGGTCGGCCTCCTCCACCACCGCATAGCCCCGCGGGGCGATTCGATCAGCGCAGGATGTCACGGGAGGCTGATGCGCGCATTCATTGTGGCTTGGACGAGTTGAGCCCCAGACGACGAGCGGAGATTCTCCATGACCGTGATCAGATTGTTCACCCCGCGGATCATGTTGCGAGTGCACGCGGAGAAACAAGCGCGAGATCGCGTCTTCAGTACCCTGGTCATGGGCCCCGGCAATGCAGTCGCAGTCGACTAGGTGCTGGAGAGCAGGATGCCCAACTACATCTACAGGAGGAACGGAGATGCAGAATGGCCGCTCTGCATCCAGACGACGACCCGCGTTTTGAGCAAAGCGGTGCGGGACGGCACGGCATCAGTAGGATTCCATCACCGATGCAACTTGCCGAAGTTAAGGAAGACGCACAAATGCGTTATCGCAGAGAGATCCAAATCTCACGAGAACGAGAAGGGATGCAGCGACTTCAGGAGGAACGGGAAGAAATGCATCGATCGCACGAGGTGGATGAGCATGAGCGTAATGTAAGGGAGCTTGAACGGCTCGAACTAGAAACACAACGCGTGATGGAGCGCCTTCGCGCAGGCCGCCTTGCAGCCGCACACGGCGAAGTTTATGGAAATTTCTCTTTGTAGCTTCTCAGCAAAATTATTATATTTATAAATATGTACCAGGGGCAGGGAGGGAGGCCCCCCCCCCTGTGGCTAGATCTGTGGTGGACCACGCCAGAGGGGTCCAGCCTGGCCACCTTTGCCCGGTCTGTAGGGTTGGCCACATGCAGCACGCCAAGGGGGTGGGTCCCGCCTTGCCTCCTCTGTCAGCTCTGTCGGGTACCGCAACACGCCAGAGGGCGCCAGCCTGGCCATCTTTGCCAGGTCTGTAGGGTGCATGCAAGAAGCGGGAAGGGGTCAGAAGTGCCCACCTCTGACCCCTTTCTGCCTGGCAGCCCCTCGAAAAGAGGGGCCGGGGCTGGCAGGCCCCCCACCCCCCCTCAAAAAGTTAGATCGGGGGGGGGCCTCCAGCCCTGAGCCCTGGAACATATCTACATAGAGCTAAATCATCTTCAACTAAGTACCATGAATATCATGGTTTTCAGAAGTCCCACAAGAAGGAAGAAATTATACGAGCGAAGTGGCAAGAACCTATATGTATATATATTATATTTATAAGATATTCACTGGATTTCGTGGTAACTTCTAGCAATAGTAATTGAGTATTGTTCCTGGATGTGCTGGCATCACTCAATCGCAATTTTGATTCATCCTGTGATGATGTATCATGTTTTTTTGGTTGTTATTTTCTCTAATCACGGGTGCGCGATGAAGACCCGGCTGTCGACCGCAACATGGACTCCAGGTCAATGCGAGAGAGCGAGCAACTACCGAGAAGCGAGCAGTACGAAGAAGGGAGTGTCACAGGCTCTGTCCGTACGAGACGGGGCGCTGCGATGATCGAAAACGGGGAGTTCCATCGTGGTCAAGATAGCAGGACTGTCATCGTTGACAATGCGTCGCGTCATTTATCGCCTTTGCAACGGCGAGGGCAGGAGACCTTGATTCAACATCTTGGTGAGGTTAATCATCGATTCGTCGAACGCCAACAGCGATACCAGCAGCAGCGATCGCATCATAGCTCTTTCAGTGATGTGGAGCCCGATCACGAATTGTCGCAATCGCCCCGCCGGAGGCATCTCAAGATGGATGATGATGCATTGCGCGAGGCTTTCCTGTCAGGTAGAATCACGAGAGAGGAGGCCATCGCGGAGTTGCGAAGACGGGAACTGCAGCGAGAACGAGATGAGATATTGATGAGAGAGGAGCGGGCTCGTCCTATGGGGCGCCAAGACGGTCGCGGGCGAGAGTATGCCTCTCGATCTCACCCATTTGAGAATGATCGTCAACATGCTTTCGAACATGAAGGCCAAAGGGTCCAGCAACTTCGAACTGAACAACATAATGTTAATCGGCGTGAGCAGCTTCAGCTTCGAGAAGGCGATCTATCTTCACGCATGAGAGGCGCCGATGGGATGCCCGCTGAGAACGAAGCTCGCTTACGCCCACACCATCAGCAGCCAGATGAAGAACGAGTACGAGGGGAGCATCAACAGGTGCTGCAGCATCGGCGTGAAGATGAAAGAGGTCAAGTCTGTTTGGTTCCGGAAGAACGAACGATCATGAGAGCTCAGCAGCATCAAGAACTCCCGGACCACACGCAGCATCGACACGCCGAACACCTGCAGGATCGTCAGGCCGAGCACATGCAGCATCGACACGCCGAACACATGCAGGATCGACAGGCCGAGCACATGCAGCATCGACAGTCCGAGCTCACGCATCATCGACACGCCGAACACGTGCAGGATCGACACGCCGAGCACATGCAGCATCGACACGCCGAACACATGCAGGATCGACAGGCCGAGCACATGCAGCATCGACAGTCCGAGCTCACGCAGCATCGACACGCCGAACACGTGCAGGATCGACAGCCCGAGCACATGCAGCATCGACACGCCGAACACATGCAGGATCGACAGGCCGAGCACATGCAGCATCGACAGTCCGAGCACACGCAGCAACAACAGGCCGAACACATGCAGCAACGAGAGGCCGAACACATGCAGCATAGAGAACTTCCGGTACATGCAGCAAGGCAGCACCACGGTCCCCGAGAGCACGCTTTTGAGGACCCCGGAGTCGAAGATTTCCACCTAGAACGCAGGAGAGAACACCAGATTGCCCAAGTAGAAGGCGGGAGAGAACACATTATCCACGTTGAAGATCCACGCAGTAGAGAACATCATGCTAAAGAGAAAGTAGTTTTGGAGCAGGAACAGCAGCGTGAAAGCGAAAGGAGTCTCGATGAGCTGCGTTATAGACAGGAGCTTCAGGCATTGAGGAAGAGAGAGAACGAAGCGAGAGCAGAACCGGAACGGAGATATGTTGGGATAGGAGAGCCACATAGACGCGCCGAAGGACGAACTGAGGCAGCAGGACGCCACCACATGCGTGACCACAATGTTGATGAACCACATAATGCTAGCACGGATAGCGAAGGGCGAAGGGCTCGCATTTTGGAGGAAGTGGAAGAAAGTAGAAGGGTAGATCCAGACTTTATCAACGCACATCAGGGGTCCGGGTCGCGGGGGGACACTTTTGGTTCTTGTTCGTCCGCGTCGCGTGGTCATGGCGATTTTACTTCGAAGACGCAACAGCAGGAGCTCAGACTCGATGGCCGATACGTCCACACGCGCGAAGCCGAAGTTACAGGAAGGGGAAGAAACTTAAGTGAACAGCATGACGCTGCGGAGGCAAAGAGTGCTGTTGCCGTCGAGCACGGTGAACGACATCAAGATCAACATTTTGTAGGAGGTCCTCGTATTGAAGAAAGCTACAACCATACAACACACACACATTCTTCATCACAGCAAATATCCTCACGTCCACGTGGAGAAGATGGTGCTGCAGGTGGAGACGGTCGACGCCAAAATGTGCAACAGTCGAAGGTTCCCGAGAAACGACATAAGCAGGATGACGAAACAAGCGTTGTTGATGTTGGAGCGCCTCCTTTTAGTAATGTAAACTCTACAATTACAGCAGGGCGAACTAGTGGTCGTGGTGGTAGAGATATCTCAGTATCTGGTCCTAGTGCAGCTGTTATCGATCGCGAGCAGTCAACGCAAGACAAGAATCCTAGTCCGGTGGGCCATGTTGGACCTCCCGTGTTGCCGCGTCGAAAACATAATCAAGTGGACCACCACATCAATGCGTCACAAATTGTTTGTGAGGCAGGGCAAGCAGACATTTCTTCGCTAACGTCACCCAGCACTATCCCACCGCTTTGCAGTCAGAAAAAGGATGAACATATTTTACGGCGACACTCTAATTTTTCTAGTTTTTTCTTTTTTTACAAAATTTAATTTGATTGTCAATGTTATGCTGAGGAATGAAAGTTCCTGGCTTACTTTCTCATATTGTTTCAACGCGTACTAGCTAGTTCAAAGAAGGGGATTTCTAGACGAGCTGAAAAGTTCGATGGGATCTCAGGTTGATTATGCCAATAAATCCTTAGTCCGGTGCGTGCGATCACCTCTAATCAGCGCCATATTCGACCCCGCGGATCCACCCCGTGTAGACGCTTTACCCCTGGAGCAACAGCATATAATTCTTGAGGCTTCAACCTCGGGATCATCGACGGCCGCGTGCACTGATCCGCAGGTAGCTCGGGAAGTTAATATTATCGGAAATGATCATGGTGTTGGTGGTCGTGGTGGTGGAGACACAAGAAAAAACGCTTTGCGCGATCTCTCGACATTGAGGCAACGCTTCGGACATTTTTTGAAACCTTGATCTTCTTGAAAATTCTTAATGGTCAAAAATATCCATGACCATGCTCTTGGTCTTGGTTCTCTCTTTAATCTACACCCCAACGTTTTACGCTAATCCCCACCGACATCGTCTTGACATGTTGTCTGAAATGATCATGATCTTTTTCATTTGTACTAGAAACTAGACTTTTGGGGCTTCGCTCGAGGTTTCTGCTATCTTTCTAGACGTTAAAAAAGGCTTGAGGTATGAAAAATAGAAAAAACTACTCAGCGACGAAAGAACACAGAAAAAAGCGCGCGTCTTAAACATCCTCAAAAATGAAAAAAGTGCTGCGCGTTGGTGTTGGGTGACTATGGGTATGGATAGGGATGCGGATATGGATACGGATACGGCTACGGGTATGGGTGTGGACATGGGTACGGATGTGGATGTGGGGCATGGGTGTGGGATATGGGTGGGGGATATGGATGTGGGACATGGGTCCGGGATATTGCTGTGGAATATGGATAGGGGTGTGGGATATGGATGGGGGATATGGATGTGGGATGAGGGTACGGATGTGGGATAAGGGATAAGGATATGGATGTGGGAGATGGATGTGGGAGATGGGTGTGGGATATGGATGTGGGATATGGATGCGGGGCATGGATGTGGGGCATGGTTATGGGATATGGATGTGGGATATAGGTGTGGGATATGGGTGTGGGATATGGATGTGGGGTATGGATGTGGGATATGGATGTGGGATATGGATGCGGGA